CCATTGAGCAATGGAATGTTCTCCAAATTGTTGTGGGTCCCTCTTTTATTTTTCATTGAGCAGTGGTTTGTAATTCTCCCTTGAAGAGGTCCTCACATCCTTGTGAAGTTGGATTCCCTGGTATTTATTCCCTTTTGAAGCATTGTGAATAGTAGTTAAATACTCATCGATTTGCTCCTGTTTAGTCTGTTATAATGTATCAACAAGTGCTTGTGATTTTGCACATTTTATTTTGTATCCTGGACTTTGCCTGAAGTTCGTTCATCCAGCCTTAAGGAGATGTTTGCTGAACGAATGGGGGTTTTCTAATATCACAATACCATGTCATCTGCCACAACAGGACATTGACTTCCTCCTTTCCTAATCGAATACCCTTTATTTCTTCTCCCTGCTGAATTGCTCCCTAGCCCAGAAACTTCCAACACATGTTGAATAAGGAGTGGTGAGAGAGGGCATCCCCTGGTCTTGTGCCAGTTTTTCAAGGGAATGCATTCCAAGTTTTTGCCCCATTCCAGTATGACTAATTGGCTGGTGGGTTTGTCATAAACTACCCTTATTCATTTTGCAAATACGTTTCCATCATACCCGAATTTATTGAGAGTTTTTAGCATGAAGGGCCTGTTGAATTTTGTGAAAGGCCTTTTCTGCCATCTATTGAGATAATGCATTCGTGTTTTTGTCTTTGGTTCTGTTTATATGCTGGATTACACCTTATTGCATTTGTGTTATATGCAACCAGCCTTGCATCCCAGGGATGAGCCCCACTTGACATGGTGGATAGAGCAGCTTTTGTGATGTGCCTGAATCCCGGTTTGCCAGTATTTATTGAGGATTTGCAATCAATGTTCATCAGGGACATGGTGTAAAATTCTCTTTAGTGAACAGGCCAACCTATAGGATGGGAGAAAAATTCCTTGCAATCTACACATCTGCAACAAGGGCCATATCCAGAACCTTACAAAGAACTTCAACAAATTTACAGAAAAAATCAAACAACCCATCAAGTGGGTGAAGGATATGAAATACGACACTTCTCAAAAGAAGACATTTATGCAGTGAACAGACACATGAAAAAATGCTCATCATTACTGCCATCAGAAGAAAATGCAAATCTAAACCCACAATGAGATACCATCTCACACTGGTTAAGAATGACGATCATTAAAAAGTCAGGAAACAACAGTACCGGAGAAGATGTGGAAGAATAGGAAACCATTTTACACTGGTGATGGGACTGTAAATTATTCATCTGTTGTGGAAGACAATGTGGTGATCCCTCAAGGATCTAGAACTAGAAATACCATTTTATCTGGCATCCCATTACTGGGTATGTACTCAAAGATTATAAAATCATGGTGCTATAAAGACACATGCACCACGTGTGTTTTATTATTCCGCTATTCACAATAGCAAAGACTTGGAACCAAACGCAAATGTCCATCAATGATAGACTGTATTAAGAAAATGTGGCCCATGTCACCCATGGAATACTATGCAGCCATAAAAGGGATGAGTTCATGTCTTTGTAGGGGAAATGGATGAAGTTGGAAAACCAATCATTCCTGAGCAACTTTTTGCAAGGATAGAAAACCAAACACCTCATATTCCCACTCATAGGTTGGGAATTGAACAATGAGGACTACACTTGGGACACAGGGTGGGGAACATCACACACTGGGCCTGTCATAGGGTAGGGGGTAGGGGGAGGGATAGCATTAGGAGATATACCTAATGTAAATGATGAGTTAATGGGTGCAGCACACCAACATGGCACATATATACATATGTAACAAACCTGCACATTGTGCACATATACCCTAGAACTTAAAGTATAATAAAAAAAAAAAAAGAAAAAAAAATTTTGCCTCTTTCTTCTATTAATTTGTGTTTTGTCCATTCATTTTCTGCAAACCTTTAGAGGGCAAATAGGAAGTTTCCATTTTCCCCTCTAAATGGGTAAGTTTCTCAAAATTCAGGCTCCTGAATAGGCAAGAAGGGTGTGTGCAGGGGATCCACCACAGTGATTTGATCACTCCTAGTCAGGCATTAGTAATACTCCCCAGAACCCAGGCTGAAGCCCACTGATGCTGATACAGTTCAATCCACTTCCTCTGCTACTGCACCAGGCTGAGATGCCTTGACCGCTGTTAAAGGTGTGAAATATAATGGGTGCAAGTCTGTGTTCAGTTTTATCCAAATCCAAGTGATTTCCCCATATACACGGTTATTTGCTTAATAGGCGATGGGGACTCTGTCCTAGATGTGAGATAGGAGGCTGGCATCTGGGTTAGGATGACCTTCCCTCACTGCTGAAGAGTAAAAGAGGAAAATGGCATTGATAGTGCAAGGCAGGGACATGCCCTGAGGAGCAGCTTCCCTCACTAGGAGACAGGACTCACTGTCCTGGTCTTTCCCAAGCTCTCCCCATTACCTGCTCTCCAGGCTCCAGCAGAGCTGCTCCTGAGCCCCCAGGAACAGACTGGTGGGCAGTGCACCTCAGATCATTAATCAGGGGATATGATCTTGGTCTTTTTTATTTTGGGAACAATTGATCCCTGGATAATTTCAAATTTATCCCAATCTATGCTTCTGCAATTGGAGAAAGAAACAAGTGACTCTTTTATTTTTGAAGTAATCAGATCTAGCATCACTAGTCAACCCTTCATGCTGATGAATCCTGGGAAGAAATAACCAATGACAGGAAAGGGAATAGAAAATAGAGGTCTCCAAACCAAAAATAAGATGTGTTCCATAAAATTCCTGGCATTAGAGAGGCCCATAGACATGGATAATGGTAGATCTGTGAGCAACACACACTTCGAGGACTTAGGGTATCATCTTTGTGCATCTGCAGAGAATTGCTTGAACATACAGTGATAATAATAATGGATTAAAATCACTCTAAAATACTTTTAAATATATTTAACATTATCTTGATAAATGTCCCTTTGAAAAAAGAAAAAAACAATTTCACAGAAATACTGCAAGTGTACCACAAAGTATCCCCGTTCCTTTCAGAGTATATCGAATAACTGATGATGGAGCCCTCTAAAACTTTACTGAGTTTCCTACAGAGAAGAATATTCTCCTAAATAATCCCAATACACCAATGGAATCCATTATTTCCTCAGATACTCAGTAGTATTTCAAATTTTGAGAAGTATCAAAAAATATGCTTTGTTACAAAATGGTCCCCAGAAAGAAATACGTTATTTACAGACATATCTGTACTGCCCTGCTTTGACCTGGCACCCTAGGGACATTGTTCCCATGCTGAGTTACTGAGATGAGCTGGCCCTGCAGCTGTGCCCAGCCTACCCCATCCCCTGCTGATTTGCATGTTCTGAGAGCACAGCCCCCTCCCCTGAAGACTTCTTAATAGGCTGGTCACACTCTGTGCAGGAACCAGTCCCAGTCAGGACACAGCATGGACATGAGGGCCCCCACTCAGCTCCTGGTGCTTCTGCTGCTCTGGTTCCCAGGTGAGGAAAGAGAACACTAGGAATTTACTTAGCCAATGTGATCAGTACAGCCTGGCTCTTCAGGGAGGGCTTCTAATCACAAGACTGATTGTGCAGATGTTTGTTTTTATGTTTTCAATATCGGGTGCCGTATGTGATATCCAGATGACCCAGTCTCCATCCTCCGTGTCTGCATCTGTAGGAGACAGAGTCACTATCACTTGCCAAGCAAATCAGGGCATTAGCAGTGAATTACCCTGGTATCAGCAGAAACCAGAGAAAGCTCCTATGCTCCTGGTCTATGCTGCACCAAACGGTAGAAGGGGATCCCATCCTGGTTCATTGGAAGTGGATCAGGGACAGATTTCATTCTCACCATCAGCAGCCTGCAGCTTGATGATTTGGCCACTTATTACTGTCAACAGGATAGCAGTTACCCTCCCATAGTCAACTCGATCCAAATCCCCGTTCCAACACCTGCTGACCATGTGACTTTGTGCGAACCAGCCATGACCTGTGATGAATGATTTTCTCAACTGCAAAATGGATCCCTACAGATATCAAGGGCCGTCCTGAGGTTTTAGTCATATGATGTGTAATTAAATGTAACTTTTTTTTTTTTTTTTAAGATAAGAGTACTTATCTGAGGAAGTCAGTGTTCAAGCTCTGAGATGCTTTTCCCCACTTGGCCTATTGTGCTGTTAATACTTGTGATTGCATTATGAAATTCCTATAGTGAGTTTTTCAGAACGATTATGCTGGTTATGTTCTTCTCTTTACTGGCCATTTTATCTGTGAGCTCCTGAAATGTTTTTTTTTTTCCATTATTCTTAGCTTCCTTGAATTGGGTTACAACATACTCCTGTAGCTCAATGAACTTTATTCCTATTCCTATTATAAATTCTACTTCCATCATTTCAGCCATCTCAGCCTCAGCCCAGTTCCGAATCCTCGATGGAGAGGTGATGCAGTCATTTGGAGGAAAGAAACCATGCTGGTTTTTTGAGTTTTCAGTGGAGAATTAATTGATTAACCTTTTTGTGTGTGTGCTTAGTGCTTTGTGTATCTTCTTTATGAAATCCTTTTTTGCGTATATACTCATGAAATATCTTTTTACGCTATTTTTACAAGGTTTATACTTTTTACTTTTACATTTCAGTTTATGATTTATTTAGAATATTTGTATCAATGAAGAGGTTAAATATACAGGTTACGATTCATTTTGATGTAGTATGGATATCCAGTTGATCCAATATAATTCAGTTATTATAATTATTTTTCTTCTAAATCACTGCTATGGTCTGATTGTGTCCCCTCCAAAGTTCCTGTTGAAAATGAATTTTCAAGGTAACAGTATTAGAAGTTGAACCCTTTGGGTGATTAGGTCATGAGGGCTCTGCATTCATGAATAATATTAATGCCTAATAAAGGTAGCTTCACATAGAGTTACCCCTTTTGCCCTTCCACCTTCACCATGTGATGATACAGCCATCAGGTGCCTTCTTGGAAGCAGAAGCAGCCCTTGCCAAACACCGAGATTGCCAGTGCCTTGACCCTGGACTTCCCAGTGTCCATAACTGTGTGAAAATAAATTTGTGTTGTTAATTAATTACCCAGTCTAAGGCTATTTTTTTTTCAGTACAGTTGCTTTGAGACAACTGTAGAACTTTCACTGTGAATTGATTGACCACATATATGCAGAACTGGTTTCAGATTCTCTAACTCATTGTACTGAGTCATCTGTCTCACCCGTCACTAAAACAATACTTTTAAAAACATTTTAAAATTTTTTAATTAATTATTTTTTGAGACAAGGTCTTGCTTTGTTGCCCAAGCTGGAGTGAAGTGCTGTGATCTCAGCTCACTAGAGCCTCTGCCTCCCAAGCTCAAGAGATCCTTTTACCCTTTTCTCTTGAGTAGCTGAGACCGCAGGCACGCACCACCATGCCCAGCTGATTTTTTGGTACTTTTTGTAGCAATGGCGTTTCACCATGTTTCCCAGGCTGATCTCAAACACCTGAGCTCAAACTACCCACCTCAGCCTCCCAAACTGCAGGAACAGCAGGCAGTGTTTGCTCCTGAGGATTCTGGGCCATGAATCCTCAGCTGCACCTCTAGCACCACCTGTTTATTTATTTCTTTATTTTTTCAAGACAGGGTCTCACTTGGTTACCCAGCATGAAGTACATTGGTGTGATCGTGGCTCATTGCAACCTAGAATTCTCAAGTGCAAGCGATTCTCCCATCTCAGCCTACGGAGTAGCTAGGATTACAGTGGCATGCCGCCAAGCTTGATTAATTTTTTTTTTTTTTTTTTGGTAGACATGGGGTTTCACCATGTTGCCCAGGCTGCTCTTGAAATCCTGGTCTCAATTCTCCAGCTTACTCAGCCTCTCAAATTGCTGGGATTACAGGCAAGAGCCATCACACCAGATTGGCACCCCTATTGACATTCCTATTACCTGCCACAGCCTTGACTCTCATAAGCAACAGGGTAATGAGGAGGTTTTGGGCCCTTTTTATTTCATTATTCTTAGCTTCCTTGAATTGGGTTACAACATACTCCTGTAGCTCAATGAACTTTATTCCTATTCCTATTATAATTCTTAAATTTACTCAGCAATACAGCAATACAGCCAGACAATTGATCTTTTCTGGCAAAAACATGTTGAATACATCTTAGGGTTTAATAATTTGGGATAGATAGATAGATAGATAGATAGATAGATAGATATGTAGATAGATATGTAGATAGATAACTAGATAGAGAGATAGATATAAGTATAGATATAGATATACATATAGACATAGTTTTATTTATTTTAATTTTTTTTTTTTTTTGAGACAGAATGTCACTCTGTCGCCCAGGCTAGAGTGCAGTGGAGCAATGCTTTTGGCTCACTGCAACCTCCGCCTCTCGGGTTCAAGCAATTCTCCTGCCTCACCTCCCACGTATCTGGGATTACAGGTGCCTGCCAACAGTCCTAGCAAATTTTTGTATTATTAGTAGAGACAGGGTTTCACCATGTTGGCCAGGCTGGTCTCAAACTGCAGGCCTCAAGTGATCTGCCCACCTTGGTCTCCCAAAGTGCTGGGATTCCAGGAGTGAGCTACCGCATCCGACCATATTTTTAAGAAAATATTTGGTTATATTTAAAATTGGCATTTTCCTACTTTTTCTACTTCCTTGTTCTTCTATTTAACACTCTTTGGCCACTCCATAAGACAGTAGAGACAGCATTTTCCACTAGTTATCCTCAGGGGGATCTGGTTGAAGATAATCAGTAACATCTTGGTCTTGAATGTCAAACAGATTTTTGTAATTTTATATAAGACGCAACATCCTAATACTGAGTTTTTAAAATTGCAATTGCCTCTCACTGATAGAAAAAGGTAGTTCTCGAAATTCCAAAAGTTGGTTTTAAAAATGGAAAACAAATCCTGAAAGATGTAGTATACTAAAGATGTAGTATTTTCCATGAATCACTGGGATAATAAAGGATCATGTAAACTTTTTTATTTCCCAAGGTTCAGAATTCAAAATTGGACAGACTGCAGGAATGGGGTCAAGATGGGATACAAGAGAGGTCAACTATTGTTCAATTAAACTGTCTTGGCTTATGGTGGGTGGGGATGTGGATGGTGGTGGGCTTGGCAGTTGATGTGGACCCACAAAGAAGCCAAATATGATACTTGTGAAAGCCACAGAGTTGAAGGCACCGCTTCATGGCTTCCCGGGTGGAGCCTGTGCCACTGGGAGTTTCACAGGAAAGTAATGCCGTGAATAGAGCTTTAAGTCTGTAATCACCAAAGGTTTAGTGAAGTCCCTGTGCAAGGAGACCTGAGGTCATGTCACTCAGTCCGAGTCAAATCACAACAGCCAAGCAGAGCTTCTGAAACTCATTCTTCCCATAGAGGAGGTCTAGCAGAGACCACTGTTTGGGTCTGGAGATGTCACAACCACTGACATGCTGAGTGGAAGGCCAAGCGGGGTCTACACCAGAAGGAGGGTGGTGGGGATAGAGGTCGATGTTCATGATTCAGACATGTATTCAGCATGCTCAGTGCAGCTTTGGGGATTTGGAAGAACACGTTGGGTCTGTAGGAGTTTTATGTTCTTCTAGCCCATCTCCTCCAGCATGTCTGATGACTCAGACCTCAGCAAAAGCCCCACAGAGGACACCGGCCATGTGTAGAGGCTGCCCTGTGCAATCCCTGAGGGTCAACCTGATTCATTTTTCCCAGGAGGTCTCCTCTGCCTGTGCCAAGACAGAACTTGTGTCCATATGTAAACTTGGCTGATTTGGCAGGAGGGCAAAATGTCAGGTGAGCATCAGCTCAGCTAGAAAGCGCCCTGTTCACTTTGGAATTTTACGTCACTAAGTTCTCATTTCTTCCACTGTTCTCTGATATTATTAATATAAAATTTTCTATTGTTTTCTCTCCGGGTTCTTACAGTGATTCTTTTAGCCTTTGAACCCCTACATCATTGTCCCAGAATAGGAAGATTCCTTTTGAAACTTACTAGTCATGTCTAAATGACAATTTGGGTACTAAATTGTCATAAAAAATAAAAAGTTTTGAAATAAGTAAATGTATAATTTTTACATTATATGGTCACTACCTGAAAATAAATCTGACTCCCACATTCTAATACTGATGGGATGGAAAAAGTATGCTTTGCATGGCTTCACTTAAAATAATTTCTCAAAAATATTTGTGAACTAATCATGGGCACATCAGTTCCATTTCATGAGGTGATATGATCAATGTAAAGAATTGTTTATACCAAAAGGACAAAATATCTTTTTTTCTGATTAAAATAATGAACCCCATCAGAAATCCTTGTCTGTTCTAGGAAGATGGATTCCATAACAAGTAAAGTTAAAATTATATTCCCCAGCAGAAATATCAAAAATAATATATATTAAAAGCATTGTATATAGGAAAGAATTTGTCACACATACAAAAAAGACAAGTCTTCTGAGTACTTTTCTTCACATATTCCTGAGTGAGAACAC